GATATAATTATGTAATAAATATATAAAATATATAATTGTATAATAAATACATATAATTGTATATTTTAATAAATATATAATTACTTATATATACAATATTATATGTAATTATTTATGTATGTCATCTATAATTATATGTAATATAATAAATATATTGTATATAAATATAGCATAATATATAATATATTAAAAGTACATGTACATACTATTTTATGTATATACTTTATCTCTCTTCCTCCTAAATTCATATTATAAATTCACATTACATATTATATATAATATATAATAAAGTATATTGTATAAAATATGTATATATAAAATTTATGATATTATATTTGAAATACTTATATATAAAATAATAGGTGTACATATAAAGCATATGTATACAATATTTTATGTGTATATATGTATTATTTTCCTTTGCTCTCCTTGAACTGCTTCCTGAAAGGGACAGTATTTTCTGAACAGATCCAAGTTGATTTGCTAACCCAACAAACATTTTTAAAAATGGCATTTTTCCTTAGGATAGGATTAGAGAGGACAGGACTGAAAGGGGAAATTGTAACTTTTTTATTGTTTAGCTGGGTTCAGTAGGACTTGGGAATGACACCGAGAAGGGAATCTTGTTAACTTTCTTTAGCAACATTATCCAGCTTTAGTCCTGAAAACTGGCTTATTTTCATGCAAAGGCCAGTGTGGATGGACCAGCATTCTGTTGTTTTCTGGGCAGAAATCTGTCCCAAATAAAAATACTATTTGAAACCAAAACCAAATGTCAGTGTTTTCGTGGGTTCACACCCAGGTATTCTCTGCACACACTACACTGTATCAGCCACATCTCAGTTTAGAGAGACTACCTAAATCCACTTGGCAAAGGCAATGGATGTTGTAAAAGGCAGGAAATAACTGAGAGAAAGGAAGCATGGCCAGCATATCAGCTAGGATTCTTTACAGAAAAACCTAACTCAGACAATAAAGTCTCATGAAACTGAAACATCTAAGTGAAGCATGACCCAGATACTCAAACAGCATGGTCCAGGATCCACCCCATGCTGGATAGCAGCAAAATGTTGATGGCAGTTCCACATCACACATCCTAATTGTTCATAGGCCAGGAGAGGAGAAAGTCTTTTCCTTTAGCTCCCATACTAGTCCTCTGATTTAGTCTCTTGATTTTGCCCCATATTGGGTCATATGCCTCCTCTTAAACCACTCCCTGTGGCTAGGAGAGCATGATGTACTGACGTAGCTGAAGCCAATCAAGGCTCTCCTCTGGCTGTAGTGGTGGAGCTAGTCCCACCCACATCAAGTCATGAAGGATAGGGAAGGAACAGGTACCCCACAGGAAAATTAGAATCCTGTTGGTGGGAACGGTGGGAGTAAATACAGGACAACAAATTTCCATCACAATCAGTATTCCTCACCCATTTCATAAGACAACTTGGGGCCCCGTTATTTTATAAGAGACTATAGAGTGTTATGTGCTAAGAAACAATCCAACTTTATTTCCTGTAAATGCAAAAATCAATCTGGAACCACCACCACTTAGAAGGCCAGACGCCAGTGCCTTTTATCAATCCTAGGTCTTCAGGAACAACGGTTGATCCCTTCTGAATCTGAACATTTTAGCCTGACACTGGAAAGTTGTAGCAGCTTGAATACATAAGCCTCAGGGTCTTGGGATGTCACAATGTGATAGGATCCAGCCTTAGGTGCAATTTGATTCAAGCCAGAAAGAGCTGCTCCTGTATCCCCAGAGCTTCCCCTAGGAGTCCGTCTAGAGGCTCCGCACCCAGTTAGTATGAAGGAAGGAGAGAGCGCAAGTATAATAGGCAGCTCTCTCATTGGCATTTCTCATCTGCCACTGGTACCTGGGGTAGAAGTAACCACAGTGATAATATTATTTAATGGGTATTGGGCGCTTGCTATGTGCCGGGAAATGTTCTAAGCACTTTCTGCATATAATTCATGTAATCTTCACATCAACCCCGTAAGATACTATTATTGCTATCACCACTTGGCAGACTGAGGCTCAGCGAGGTAACAAAACCTGCCCAAGATGTCGTGCCCCTGGAGAGCAGCAACTCCGGCAATCCGGAGAACACACTCTTTACCACCATGCTGCAGTCTCCCTGCTTCCCATCTTTGGAAATTGAGATCCAAGAAGGAAGAATGAGTGACCCGAGCAAAAGAAATGAAACCCTAAAGGGGGACAGGTGTGCCTTCAAGTAACTCCCAGCCTTCTCTTTATCAGTTCTGTAGGCTGGGATGATGCTAAATCACACAGTATCATTTGAGTTAGGGATGTCTGTCCTTTTTCATGGGTAATACATCACCTCCCATAACGAGCCCTTTCCTGGCCCCTATTACTATCAGTTGGAAATTGGCAAGGAACACTGGACATTAAAGAAAAAATTTTAAAGCAATCTTGAAATTTCTGAATGAAGGCTCTGAAGAAACCCAACAAAGGGTTCTACTCCTGACCCAGATGGATGCAGTGACTGTGTACAGCTTGTCTGTCAGAGCTTGAATGCAAAGGAGCCACTTCCCATACCAGCCAGTCTTTTTTTCTTTCTTTCTTTACTTTTTTTTTTTTTTTTGGAAACAGAGCCTTGCTCTGTTGCCCAGGCTGGGGTGCAGTAGCACAATATTGGCTCACTGCAACCTCCACCTCCTGGGTTCAAGTGATTCTCATGCCTCAGCCTCCTGAGTAACTGGGATTACAGGTGGGCATCACCGTGCCCAGCTAATTTTTGTATTTTTTAGTAGGGACAGGGTTTCGCCATGTTGCCCAGGCTGATCTTAAACTCTTGGAAGTGATCTGCCTGCCTTGGCCTACCAGGATGCAAGGGATTACAGGTATGAGCCACCATGCCTGGCCCCAGCCAGTCCTTTGATGAGAAGAACAACAGCAGAAAACTGCAACAGCTTTGCCCAAAAGAAAAGCCATCGGTATTGGGAAACTTGTACAACACAGCACAAGCAAACCTCTGCAGCAGGCTTCAATGTGTTTAATACTTTCACAAAGTACGGAGGCAAAACCCATTTGACAGGTGAAAAAGCATCTCTATTGACTTTCTACAAGCCTTATGATATTCTAGGTGGATCGACACTTATCATAGCCCTTTAATCTGCCAGCCAGGATAATGTGTGCATGGATAATTTATCCACTGTGAGATTGAAACGCTCCATTTGGAATAACTTTCCCTACCCAGTAAATTGAGCATTACTCCAGGATTCTGAGACAGAGAGAAAGCACAATTTTAAAAGCTTTGCAGAGTTCCTTTGTAATTAGTCGCAGCTTTCCTTGAATATTAATTTCCCCCACATCCCTTTCAAGTGGTTTAGAGACTGTCTCTAGAACTACAGAGATGCACCCTCAGAACCATGACAGCAAGCGGCATGGTCTCAAACACCTATGATTAAGTAGTCTGCAGAACGCACCTTCTGTTCTTCGGTGCAGTGTGTAGCTTATCAGTGCAAACAGTTTAATATTTATGCTAAGAGGATTGTCAAAAGCAGCTTCTGTTGCTTTAATTCTTGTTTTAAATAAATAATGAGAACATTTAAACACATTACTCTTCTTGAGGCCCCGGGGTCAGCTAATCTTATTATTTATGAAGTGATGTGCTACATAATAGTACTTAGTGCATGTTAACAGACGCTATTATCAGGGCCTGATGCAGAGAGCCGAAGATATATTAGAATGTTATGTGTAATGTACGACGGATTGAGTGCATAGGATGCCGGTGTAGCAATTAACCACACGCGAAAATAGGTGTAAAGTTGAAGTATGTTTTCCCGGGGGGATCCCCTCACCATTAATAATTCCCCAGAGAAGAAAATGTCTTTCAGTTAGGAACCCTCTCTACCATCAGGCTTGGAAATGGGGCCAGGATATTCCATTCTTTGATCTCTTCATAGTCGGTCCTACACAGTCAGAAGACAAATAGTGAGCATGACTTTTTAGTTGATTTAGACAAAAATGCAGAGAAGGCAGGGGTGGAGGGAGGCACGTGTGCAGTGTCCCAAATGTCCTCATAGTGTCTGGTTTTGGTCCACACATTTTCACTGCCACGTACTCCAGGAGAGTCGAGAAATCGTTCATTCCTTATTGCAATCTGTTTCCTTCTCTCTGATCCTCATTTTGCAGATAAATAAAGCTGAAGCCACTGAGTTTTCCCAGGTCACTTTTAAATAAGCCGATCTCTCTGAGAGATAGATGCCTGCCAAGGTGTGAGAACGTCGCCCCAATTTTTTTCCTGTGAGGCTATAATTTAGCTTCATATGATAATTAATTTCTCTACTATTGATGAATAATCCATTCAATAAAAACCGTGATTTAAGTGTTCTCCTTAGGGACTAACTCTTGCTAGCCTCTTAATTTAATTTTGTGGAAGTTTTTCCCACCTCTTCATCAGTGGAAATGATTATTAACCTCTATTTGCATATATCCTTATAAATCGGTGTCTCCTTGGAGTGCCTTTTTCTGAGCACAGCAAGCTGGGACACTTGTAAATCTCCAGGATCTCCAAAGTCAATCCCGGCCTGTAATATTGTTTAATCTATTCTTGGACGTTTTAATGCCATAAATTCAATTTAATCTTTCCCAGTAATCTAGTAATACATCGAAATCCCACAAACATTTAAATCTGATAATGGCTTAATCACACACTTTAAATAACAGTTGAGATAATGAAAAAATAATTCACCATTTTAAAGGCAGAGTAACTGAATTTCCCTGATGATTGGCTTCTACGCAACCACCTGAGATGATACAAATCTGGGAGTCAAAGCACAGGAAGCCCGGACCATCAGGAACAGCCTTCCTTCTTAGAAACACCTGCGTTCCGCCTGTGGCCTCATTCAGTCATCGCCATGACCTTCACCCCAGAGGACCGTCTTTGGAGCATTGGCCGGTGTTGCTCCAAGCTTCCTGTGGGTTGAGGTCTTCCGGGGCTTTCCTCCCATGGATTAATTTCCTATTGTTACTCTTCCAGGTGCCAGTCGCGAATTGCCCGGACTTTACCTGCTGATCAGAAGCCAGAATGTCGGCCATACTGGGAAAAGGATGACGTTTCGATGCCTCTGCCGTTTGATCTCACAGACATCGTTTCAGAACTCAGAGGTCAGCTTCTGGAAGCAAAACCCTAGAAGGAGCACAAGTCACAGGCAGAGGAGAAAAAGAGATCGGCTTTTCTCCTCCAGTGTTGTCATGGGCTTAAGCAAGGGCAGCGGAGGCTTCTCTTGGCCCCTAGATTGTAGCATCCGGGTCCCAATCCAAAACAGCTAGGAAATGGTGCCCATGAATTTTTAAATGTTTTAAAATGACCCTCTGTTATAGTCTGATTTGGTGTTAAACAGGACCTTCTTCCCCAAAAATTGTTCAGATTTAAAAATGTGAGCCATTCAGCCCCCAAGGTCCAGGGCAGGCGACAGGAACAAGCCCAGCATGTGACAAAGCCTAACCTACTTTCCTCTTTCCCAGGCTTTTTCAGAGACTCTGGAGTGGACCCAGCCCTCTGGGGAAAGACAGAACTTAGAGACATCCCAGTTTCTTACCACACCCATAAGTGTTGTCCAATATGGTAGCCACTTGCTAGCTGCGGCTACTTCAATTTAAATTCAGTTTTAATTTTAATATAAAATGCAGCTCTTCAGTTGCCCTGGCCACATTTCAAGTGCTTAATAGCCTCATGTGACTAGTGACTGCTGTATGGACGGTACAGATATGGAACATTTTCATCATTGAAGAAAGTCCTATTGGACAACGCTTCTATAAGAAGTTTGAAAGCAGGAATTCTCATTTCCATTCTTCTGTAGCCTCTATCCCCAAAGGCAAAGAAACTAAAAGAGAAATGACTCATTGAAGATTGGCCTCTCTCCTTTCTCTAAGACAAACCTAAGTAAAAGCCTGAGCTTTGAGTTCTATGCTCAGCGCACAGGAAGGAGATGTTAACAATTAAAATAAAGTTGATATCCTGTCTTTAGGGAGTTTCGCTGATCTCTTGAAAGAGACACAGCCCTATTTACATTATTCCGCAGATTTCACCAGCATAGTATAATTTTTTCTGTAAGTCCCTCATTCTTATGTAATAACAGGTGGAACTGAGGTTTGAAGAACCTCAGTGGCTCATCCTGATGACATTGGAGACTCAGAGAGACAAGAGAGAGTAGGGTTTAAAACCTGAGCTTTAAGACTCCCACTAGCTTTGTGTCCTTTGGTATTAACGTGCCTCAGTTTCCTCATCTGTATAATGGGGATACATGAAAGGCACCACTCCCAAGGTGAACATTAAGTGAGATGATTCTAGTTACAGACTTAGAACAATTTCCAGCACATAGTCAAATATCCAGGAAATTCTAGTACTGTTATGTGTGGGTGAACTGACCTGGATGTAGATGCTTTCATCTTTCTTTCTGACCCCTCCGCCAGTTTTGTCTTGTGATGCCGCTAACACATCTCCCCCTTTCCGACCTGGCTCCCGCCCAATGATGTCCCAAGAAATCGTGAGAATAGTTAGCCCCCCTCTCCCCAGCCTGTTGCCCTCTCGTGTAGGTGTTCACAGTAGTAGTTGAGAAGTTGAAGAGCTTTTGCCCGTTGAAGGTGCACTGAGAATAAACTCTTTCCTGCCACCAGAATTGCAGTGGTTCACGGCCTACACTCATTCCCATGCAGTTAATAGACACAGGAATGTCTTGTTAAGCAAAGCGGCCAGGGTCTCATCGTGTTGAGACTCGAGTCTCTCAGACCTTGGATTCATCCCCTGGTGTCTTTGAGCCTCGGTTTCCACATTGGTAAAAGAGAAGTGAAGCACTGTCTCACAGGGTCATCACAGAGATTAAATGAAATAACGTAGACCAGGAGGGCATGGCGTTTAAAAGTCACAGATGGGGCACCCTCGGGCCATCCAGCCCAGTGTTTTCTTTAGCCCCTATGATGTTCATTTTTTGTTATATTCCATTAGGTGCCAATATTTTTAAAATGGGAGATTTCACATAAAATTAAAAGGTCTGCATTTTCTTTTTTTTTTTTTTTTTTTTTTTTTGAGACGGAGTCTTACTCTGTCACCAGGCTGGAGTGCAGTAGCACGATCTCAGCTCACTGCAGCCTCCGCCTCCCAGGTTCAAGTGATTCTCCTGACTCAGCCTCGCGAGTAGCTGGGGCTACAGGCACGTGCCACCACGCCCAGCTAATTTTTGTATTTTTAGTAGAGATGGGGTTTCACCATGTCGGCCAGGATGGTCTCTATCTCCACCTCGTGATCCACCCACCTCGGCCTCCCAAAATGTTGGGATTACAGGCGTGAGCCACCGCGCCCAGCCAAGGTCTGCATTTTCTTTAGAACTCAGAACACCCAGTAGTCCTAGGGCCCCATCCTCGCATGGCAACAAGCTAAATAGCATCTTCCCACTGCGAGTTGGGGCATGACCCAGCCTATGGTTTGCCATACTCCCTCTTTTTCTCCATTTTATCATTAATTGTGAACCTGACCCGTGTCACCTCTTCATGTTAGCGCTCTCCAAACCTGCTTGCTTGCACCCCTCTAGTCAAAATGTTTTGTGCTCACCCCAATATATGTGTGACTATTGAGCTCTATTTGTAGACTGCTTGTACTAATGTCATGTGCATCATAAAATATTCATATCCAATAAAAATATTAAAAGGATGAGATAAGAAACCAAGAGAGATTCTGCTGTTTTTTCCTTTTGCATGGATGAGCCAGCTTCACTGGCCTGGGTGGGGCCCAGGTGGAATTAGTTCTCAAAGTCCTCCAGGTGGAGTCAGGGGATGTGCAGCAGGGTTGGAGAAATCACTACCTTAAGTGAATCCGAGAGGTGAGATCACATTTGCTCTAAAGAAATGGTGATCCCAGCACTTTGGGAGGCTGAGGCGGCAGATCATTGGAGGTCAGGAGTTGAAGAGCAGCCTGGCCAACACGCTGAAAGCCCATCTCTACTAAAAACACAAAAATTAGCTGGGTGTGGTGGTGTGTGCCTGTAATCCCAGCTACTCGGGACGCTGAGGCAGGCAAGTCACTTGGCCTGGGAAGCGGAGGTTGCAGTGAGCTAAGATCATGCCACTACACTCCAGCCTGGGCCACGGAGCAAGAGAAAAAGAAATGGTGAGTTTCATTGAGCATGTGTTTGAGGATTTCAGGGAGGTTTCAGGTGGGTAGAAGGAGGTAGGCAAGATCCAATAAAAAGGCGGCTGGGCCGGGCGCGGTGGCTCAAGCCTGTAATCCCAGCACTTTGGGAGGCCGAGACGGGCGGATCATGAGGTCAGGAGATGGAGACCATCCTGGCTAACATGGTGAAACCCCGTCTCTACTAAAAATACAAAAAACTAGCCGGGTGAGGTGGCGGGCACCTGTAGTCCCAGCTACTGGGGAGGCTGAGGCAGGAGAATGGCGTAAACCCGGGAGGCGGAGCTTGCAGTGAGCTGAGATCCCGCCACTGCACTCCAGCCCGGGCTACAGAGCAAGACTCCGTCTCAAAAAAAAAAAAAAAAAAAAAAAATAGGCGGCTGGTGCGAACAATGACAATGAACTCGTATCCTGCAGGGTCAAGGGGAGGCTTGCTTCTGCCCTGTGAATTGGAGAAGGACTTTCTTGGAAGCACAGGCTCAGAAATCGCACCCTTCCCCCGATGTGTGCGGATAACAGACCACCTCCATCAGCAGCAGCCTCCTCCTGCTTTCCTGCCAGTCCTCCCTGTGGTCTCAGCTATCTTGAGAAAAGTGATCTAAGAGATCTCTTTGCACTGAGGTGCTACTGACTGCCCTGCCTCCCTCCCTTCCTCCCGCAAACCTTTCTTGGTGCTGACCACAGCCTCAGCAATGGGGCAGGCCTGGGGACCCAAGACAGATCTCTGCCTCCCAGGCTAGTGGATGCCCTGGGATATGTAGTGACCAAAACAGGAACTCACCCCATAGTGCGGAAATAGACAGTAACCAGCAAACCAATAACAAGAGTGTTCCAGGTGGTTGTAAGTGCCAGGAAGGGAACCAACTGGGAGAGGGACAGGAGGAGATGGTGACTGACCAAGGGGACCTCAATCAGGCTGTAGGGAAGGAAGGTGGTCGGGAAGAGCTTCCCAGGAAAGGGGACGGCGGGCCCACGCAGGAGAGCCCTGGGAGGGGTGCCCAAGGAAGGAAAAGGGCCCTGAGCCCAAAGCCGAGAAGACCAGGAGGGGAGAAGGGGAGACGTAGGGCAGAGCAGGCGGGAGCCGCTCGGGTTTTATTCCACACACCCCAGGAAGCGTGAAAGGGTTTCAAGCAGCAAGGACGTGGAAGTAACTTGGTGAGATATTTTCATGCTTTAGACCATCGCTCTATCTGGATTCCAGAGGGTCTCTCAGAGAGCAAACGGCTCAATCCAAAGGAGCGGCTTTCCAACTGGGGATGTCCCGCTGGCTGGGTGAGATCTCAAGATGGCCTGCGGCCCCTCTAGGTTGCCCACCTGCTGAGTTCACTATAAACAGCACCTCCTCTCCGCACCCCGGCGGATCCATTCCTGCCGCCCTCACTGGCAGGCTCCAGCCCCTCAGAGCTTTCTAGACATGACCAAGCAGGGTCATGGCATCATTGGTGACACAATTTTAGTAATCAGCTTCAAAATCCATCACTCACGGAATCGAGGGATGCCGGAATTGAGAGTCCATAGGCCCTGTTTAATGGACCCCACGTTTAGTCGACAGTTTTTTGTATGCTTCGAGGGAAGGAAGGTATTTTCAAATGCAACTTCTTTTTTTTTTTTTCTTGCTCTAGTTAGGGCTGATTTTACCACTGGGCAAATTGCATACATTTGGATCCATGCCACGCTAAATACTGTTTATTTTGGAGATCTGTCAGAGGCAAGTGCATGGAAGACAAGGGGATTCTGGTTTGAAAAGGCAATTCTCATCCAGACAGATTCAGATGGAGAGGAACGGTGCGGATTAAAATGCGCCGAAGTGGTAATGCCGTTTATCCCGTTTGCCTTTGTTACTCTGTGATTAAATGGTATTTTTAATTAAGTTTCATTGGGAGCCATAGGTATCGCGGTGGTGAAATCAATTTGACAACCATAAAGGGGAGAGAAGGCACAGGCGTGTTGTGATGATTGCGGCTGTAGGGAAAGCGGGCAGCTTGCAGAGGATGGGTGGGAGGAGGGGAGCCGGCTAAGAATGACTTCCCACAAGGCAGCAAGGGCACCCCTGGGCCGCTGCTGTGTTTGGGAGGCAGGTTTTGGGGATTGTCAGAAGGCATTCACCTGGTTCTCTCGCTCATCTGAGACACCCAATAGATTCCTGGAAACTCCAGGAAAGTATCTGAAGTTCTGTTTCTCCATTCTCTCTTGTTAACAAGGAGAACCACGAGTGCCCCCCAGATCCCGGCTAGAAGGACCAGACCAGCTTTCCACCCTGGTTTCCGGGCAGCTGTGATCCCATAGTCCTGTGTCCCAACGGCCCCATGCTCCCAGGACGGTCCTAATTCCCACCTCTCGGAACCTTGTCAGCCAAGTCCTTCCTGCTCTCTGGTCCAAATCCTCCTCCTACACTGGAAACTGAGCCTCTCCGCACCCTCCGCTCTTTCTATCCCACTGTCATTCATCAGACTTTCCAAATCTTTGGATTCCTGAGTGGCAGAAGAGGTTTCCTGAGTGTTAAGTCCTGGTTCTGTGTGTGATCCTCACTCTACCACCTCTTCAAACCTTTGTTCTCTTGTCTACAAAATAGAATAGTAGTAATCCATCACCTAAGGTTGCTGTGAAGGTTCAATAAGTTAATGTGCATTTAAAATGCCTCCCGCAGTACCTGGCATATACAGGTCTTCCGTGAGGTACTAGCTATCGTTATTAACGAAGTTTCCTGTGATAACAGTTGTCGCCTTGTGACTGGGGCAAATCACTAAACCCCTCTGTGCTCCAGGCTTTGTTTATATAATGCGGATGATGATAATGCCTAGCTCACTGGATTGTTCTGTCCCCTGCGACCATCCGTGTTAAGCAATTCGTATCATGTCTGGTACTCAAAACTCACTCCACGCATGTACGTTAGGATGATGAAAAATATGATCTGTGGTATCCTGACCAAAATATTCAAAGGGACTAAAGATGGCTGTGGCTTGTTCAAGAAGAATATTGTGTCACTCTCCCATATATTATCCCATTTGCTCTTCACAGCTTCCATTTTTCGCTAGGCGGATGGCATGGAACTTTCTATAAATGAGATATTATGAAAAATGATGTTTTAGGACTCCCATTTCTACAGTGGGAGTAGGTCACCCATTGCAATTTTAGATTTGCTTAAAAAAAATTCTTGCCATCACCTTCTAATGGATGATCTGTGTACAACAATTGTTTATTGACTCTGAATGTCTAAGTACCAGGGTCAGTCTATTTCAAGGGGAGGGAAGCATTAATTAACCTCCAGCATTAGATTCAGTGATTCTTTTCCAATGATGCAGTTCATGACTTTGCTCGCAGTTACTTTTCATCAATCCTGAAAGAATTGAGGTAAAATAGTTCCTCTGCACATGTGTGTCAAGCTAAATGGATAACAGCAGATACAGATCTGTTTGCCTGTCTGCACTTGCCTTTAGACAAAATTCATCAATTTTACAAAAGCCACTGACTAAACATGGCACCAATACAAATGAAGCACTTCTAGCAGGCGGGGTTTCCCTTTGTTTCTGATCTGGTAAATGCAGTAGTTTCCTGCTGAGAGATGGGAAGTACTGGTCTAGGACAGCAAGGTGCCCTACAGGTGGGGCCAAAAGGGTCAAGACCATTCTACAGGAAGTTTAGGAGAAGTTCAGTGGTTCCACATCCTGTGCGCTTCGGGTAGTTCTGACCCTCTTCATTAGTGATAATGGCATGAAGCTCTTTTGCAGTCTTTTTTTTTTTTTTTTTTTTTTTTTTTTCCAGACAGGGTCTCACTCTGTCACCTAGGCTAGAGTGCGGTGGTGAGATCATGGCTCACTGTAGCCTCAACTTCATGGGCTCAACCATCCTCCTGCCTCAGCCTCCTAAGTAGTCGGGATCACAGGCACTTGCCACCACACCCAGCTAATTTTTTGTAGAGACGGGGTTTCACCACATTGCCCGGGCTGGTCTCAAACTCCTAGGCTCAAATGATCTGCCTGCATCGGCCTCCCAAAGTGCTGAGATTACAAGCGTGAGCCACTATGCCTGGCCCTCCACACAGCCTTGCTTGGTGTTAAAGATTAAACAAAGACCACAGGTGATCACTCTCTTCGTGGTGCCAGTTTCAAGGGCACCCTTCTTCCCTTCCCAGCCTCCGAAAGAAGGAGAGAGGGTCCACAAGCCAGATCCATCCCCACAGGTAAAACCACGACTGTGCAGCTAGCAGGTGGAGATAACATTTGGAGAAGGGCTTGTCAATGCTAAAGTCCTACTCAAGTCCAAGGGAGAGGAATTATTATTATTCATTTTGTGAAACCAATTTAGTTTGGGTGGATAATGGAAGAATTTCTACATACATTCGTTACTTCTGATCAGGCAAGACCAGTCTGACACAGGAACGGTATATGGCTCACTCTTAAAGCCACGGCAGGCAGCCAGGGCTTGGAGAAATAGAAACCTCCCTTGCACAAGAATAGTCTCAATGAATCATGTTAAGGCCTCTTTTAAGTTTTTCAGACTCCATGCACCGTGTGAAAACTGCCTTTCCTGAGTAGAGGT